ATTTTCTATCTTGATGCAACACTTTATTAGGTGAGTAGATTGGAATTGGACATCTCTTGCATTTCAGTTTCATCGATTCAAAAATCTAATTTTTTTAAAGCACTTAACACATAACTTTTTTCGATATATCATGAACTACACTGGTGTGCAAAAATTAAGGACGAGACGGTTTTTTCAATATAACTTTGTACAAAAGCTTTCCAAAACAACACATTTAATACCGTAAGATCCCCAATACATAAGGACATGTGTAATGTAAGCAACACTTACTAAAAGAGAAGGATAAAAAGAAGCTTGATTGAAAAAGTAGCATGGAGCGCAATGCTACTGAAGGCCGAAACATCCCTGTGATGGGTGTCCAGCAAGAAACATCCGGTCTTTAGTAGGGGATATGATCTCCCCTGACTGCTAGGCAGGTTTCACAGCGTCTGCCCATGCTGAGAATGAGGGTGTCAATGAGTTGTTGAGGCATTGCTGCCCATTCGTCTTGCAGCGCCAATCGAAGCTCCTGAATCGTTACTGGTGGTAAGGTACGAGCTGCCAAGCGTCAGCCTAGAAAATCCCATACATGCTCGATGGGATTGAGATCCGGAGATCGTGCCGGCCAATCCATACGTTCAATATCCTCACTCTCTGAGAGCAGTTCGGTAGCTACTGTGCGATGACATGGTGCATTGTCGTCCATAAAAAGGAACTGCAGACCCATAGCGCCTCTAAAAAGACGCACATATGGAAGAAGAATCTCGTTACAATAACGGGTGCCGTTGACTGAACCTGCGTCGAAGATGTGAAGGTCTGTACGACTACCAAGCATGATGCCTCCCCAAACGAGAACACCGCGACCTCCATACCTGACCCTTTCAATGATGTTCGAGGGATGATTGCAGCTTCCCCGCTCTCTCCAGATGAGTATGCGATGAGACTCAAACTGAATCTGCTCTCATCTGTAAAGAGTACTCGTCCCCATTCATTGTCTCTCCAATTCCGGTGTTCCCGGCACCACAGAGAACGCCTTCTCCGATAGTCAGGCGTTAAAGGTACACACCGTACAGGGCGTCGTGCAAACAGACCACCCCCCGTGCAGTCTTCTGGCCACGGTAAAACGCGATATCGGTCGTCCAGTCGCCTGTGTCTTGTGTCTAGCGATTTCTCCCGCTGTCTGCCGCCTGTTTCTTCTGGCCTGTAAGACAATGTACCGGTCATCTGCGGGTGTGGTTCCTCGTGGACAACCACTACTGAACCCCCGGATAGCTGTTCCTGCAGTTTGAAATTGTCTCCAAAGTCGTGAAACGATGCTGTGAGCAATTCCGAACTCTGCAGCCACACTTGTCACACTGCGGCCTTCCTCCAACTTCCCAATGATTCGACCTCGGGTAAAATCATCCAGATGTCGTCTAACTGATTGATTATTCGCCATTTCTCGCTGAGGCAGCAACTCGGTGTGATTTTAACTACTATACGGCGTGGAATCTCTTTGTCAGAAATACTGATCTTACACCGACAACATGCTTTATACTACTTAGACACTCCCCCATTACGTCTACCTGCATATCTGCGCATATGTCACCATACATCACCTTACTAAATCTCCTGATTGGTCTTTCTGTCCGCTCTGCCTCTTCGTTCAGCTGAAATGCTAATTTTTCGACCTCGTCCTTAATTTTTGCACACCAGTGTATATATATATATATATATATATTCGTTTTCTCATTTGGTGATTTGTATTTACTTTGACATGCAGTAAAGTGATTTCCTTCACTATAATCGTTCTGAGCAAGGCAAAGAGCTTCAACGATGGATGTTGGTAAATTGGTAATGTGACTTATTTAAAAAAACATCTTTAGAACTATATACATTATCGTGCGAATTATGAAAAAGTCTGAAAGATAACTCTAAAGATAAATTTGCAGCTATTTTGTAAATTATTTAATAAAATTGCTGGAGACAATTGATTGTTTGAAGAGAGACAACTCCATGTGTACTCTGCTTTCTACTTTTAGTACTACATATATATTTGAAATAAATACTTTCTCATATGAGATGTATTTCCATTCCGCAAAGAAGCTTTTTAACAACTGAATGCTCAGAATAGTGTCAAGTTGAAAGCAACACATTATGCCCCTTATTTTGCGATATGAAAGTATAGCGGTACAAGCACTAGGCTCGCATTAGAATTTTAATCTTTCTTTTTATTTAATTATAACGAAAGGAAATATTTATATTTTATGTTGTCTATTTCTTATTTTATCATGATACACATGGGCAATTTAATTTTTTTTTTTACATTTGTTAAAAGATTGCTATATCTGATGCTGTTCATTTTTAAGTTAAGAAATATCTTTAAATGACGCAAAATTAATACATAATAAAACTGTAATTATTGTTAATATCTATTCTCTAATTCTGTATGCACTAGGCGGGAGTCGAATTGTATATCCACAGGTTCTACTTTGTGGCACACTGAACATATTGGTAGATTGGCTTAGTACGACGCGGCTAAAAGATTGCTGACCCCTGGGGTAGAAGTTAGGTGAGTGTGGTTCCTCTGAAATGTTGCCTTTGTTACTTGGCCGATGTTTAAACCTACGAAGTCCATCCCTACATTATTCGTGCAGCTCCAAATCTCGACATAAACATGTAAATCAATCCACTAAGAAACAATTTCTTACATTCCTAGACCAAATGAAAAAAACAGTGATGGGATAATAAGAGTTCTCTAATGCATGGAGTAAATATACATAACTTGTACAGTTCTATACCTTAAAACATGACTCATTTAGATCTGAAAAAAGTTGATTCAAGTAGCTGGATAAAATTTTTTAAAAAATCTTTGATCGAAAGATAAGATATAAAGTGGAGCTAAGAGCATATATTCATATAAATATAACAATTAAATTACTTAACATATATAATGGTAACATTGAGTAATTTGAAATTAAAAATATCGTGAGGTCATAACTTTTGCTGTTGGAAATAATACGTCTGAAAGTAATTACTTTTTTCTTAATTGCATGTCTTCTCTCTTTTAAATGAGGACATTCAGTATTACTAAGAGTTACCGTAAGACGAGGTAAAAGTTTAAAGGAGTTGAAGTAAATGTGAAACAAATTGTTATATTAACTTCAAATATATAAGGTCTTACACACCAAACGGTAACTCTTTCGCAATGCTTTGAAAGTCTAGTTACTGCCTTATTCTGTAAAGTTTTAGAATACAGAACCTGCATTTAAAAAAAGCTCATTATTCATTTATAAAAATCCTCTAGCCAAATTTACATAAAAAAATAACTATTAACACTGTATGGAACATAGTATTGAATAATATACAGTAGAACCTGTTTTTGTGCGGTCCTTTTTATGCGATTTTATTTTTGTGCGACCACATAAAAAAATTCTGCAGTTCGACAAAATGGCTTGTTATTTGTAAGAATTCATGAAATTTTCGAATATTTTTTGTTCAGTTATTTTTATGCGGTTTTTATCAACCGTACAAAAACGTGTTTAACAGTATTTACTTGATTAATATTGTATATAATTTTGAAGATCACTAACAGAGTTAGCATATCGCGCTTCCATACTACTGCCCCAGGTTCCAAACCCCGGGCTGGGTAAGGTCGACCCAGTGATTCATACATTCATTGGGTCTATAAATGAATACCAAGCTTGCTCTTGGGAACTAAACACTAGAAGTTTCACGTTAGACGGACCACATGACAGCAACATTTGCTCGTGCAGCTCAGTGCTCAAGGTCATGAAAACTGAGATGAGCGCAGTAGTCCTTGGTCCTCTATGTGCTGTAGAATATCGAGTTTAGTTTAATTTAGTAACTAACATAGTAGGTAAAAATAACTATATGCATTGATTTTTAAACAATTAATTAATCTAATAATTAAATGGTTTATTTCATTTGAACGATTAAAACATTTTTTAACCGGAAATTAAAGTATCCACAAGAAAAGATGATAAAACATACCAGGAAAATAAATTGCACAATTTATTTAAGGTTTCATTGAAATAGCTTATCATTTTTGTGTGTAAGAATTAAAAAAGGAGGGGAAAAATTATATCGAAAATGAGATAAAATGTAGTACATTTAAAATCATTGTGCATTTAAATTTGTGAACACATATTTTATATTTAGGAGTAAATATTTTTGTAATAATTTGGCAACTCGTTGTTTATAAATCATAAAGAAAAAAACCCATGAGATAAAATTCAGAATAATTAAGAAACAATTAAAGAACCATTAATCGAAATAATAAAATTATCCCCAGTATCTTACAGTTATTCCATACTTTGATATATTCGTCTTCAAGAATAAAATTATATTGTTAAAGGATTAAGGACTGATTTATGTTACAAAGATATTGGGTTAAATTCCATTGATACGTTATAACCCTTTTTTCAATGGATGCCGTTTCTTCTAGCGACACATCAATCTTCTCACAGTTGTTTATTGCCTGTAATAGAAAATTCTGCAGCTATTGATATTTATGACTGTAATAATACAACTTCTTTTAAAGTTGCCTTTGCCAAATGTTACAAGATAAAGTCCTTACATTTCTTTCTTTAAAAAAAGCTCCAATATCGATAACGGGTTCTGACTTCACGTTCTGTAGACAGTAATTTATTACAAAAACTGTTAAATATTTTTATCGAAGTCAATCTTTTGTTGTTTCGATATTTACTACGAAATTTGTATTTAGTTTTTTTTCTTTTATATTTTAATGATTCATATAAGTGTTTTATTCAATACATATAACAAGATATATATATATATATATATCTTGTTATATATATATCCATCGTTAATAAGATACTTTTTATTCATTCCCTCAAGAGTTCAAATACATTTTTTAAAACTTATAGTGGATGACACTTGATGTTGATACAGTTTTCTCAAATAATAATTCAATAATTAAATTTTTAAAAAATGAATAGATAGAAAAAAACAAAAATAATGGTCCAACAGCATATATAGAAATGAAAATCGTTCGTTATTTCTCTAAAGCGCAATGGATAGCGCGTTGGATTTCTAATCCAAAGGGCATGGGTTTGAATCCCATCTGGTAAGGCCTTATTTCGGAGAATGTGATTTCTTTTTTACTATAATATTTCATTAATATAATTAAATTTACTTAATGAATAAACGGTAAAAAAACAAAAAGACAAAAAACAAAGAAAAAAGTCCAACAGCCTATATAAAAGGAAAATTGAATATATTGTAAGGAAAATCACTTCCTTTCTTGTTACTTAATATTGTGATTGTGTTGTATATACATATTTATAATAATAGTAAATATTTAATAAAATGTAACTGAAATATAAAATGTTTCGTTGCTGACCTAAGTAGGAATTGACTTGATTTTTTTTAATATATTACTTGTTTTAAATAAATCATATTCGTATACTGAGATGATATACATAAAAAAAATCACAAGAATATATTAATATTCGAGTTTTACTGCTTCACAGATTGACCTGAATAAGGAAATAAATGAAGGAAAATTCTGTGCAAGTCTAACGTAAAAATCGTTTAATGAAAAAATTTCCTTTGATTCATTCATATAATGAATATTTTGGAATGGCACTTAATTTTAGGAACAGAAATAATAATGAGTTGGAACAATAATATCAAGAAATCGTTGTATAGTGCACATTCTAAACTTACTTATTTTAAAATTAAAATCTAAATGTAATGATCAATAACATTATACAGACAAGAGCAGAGGTGGGCAAATAGAAATCATTGGGCCGCATGTGACCATCAAAGAAGTTTTTCAGCCTGTCAAGACTGTCAGAAAAAGCGCTTTTAACCGAGATTTTTTTACCTTGCAAGATCAAAAATTCGTCTGGTATTTTTCCCTATTAGGTAAGCAAAGTAACTAGGAGTGTTTCTGTTAATGCAGCGTTTTCCAAACTGTGGGGTGAGATACCCGGGACGTGGACCCAATAAAGGGTAACGCGAGCATATTGAAAAGTCAAAAATAAAAAAAAAATAAAGTAAGTATTAATTCACACTGAAAAGACGCAAAACAAAATTCATTCAAATATAATAAAAAATAAATATACATTTATACCGTTTTAAAATATTTATACAGTCGGACCTATGTATAAAGAAGTCGCTAAATCCTCGCAAAATTTCGTTATATTTAAAATTCGCTATACAGAGGTCCATGTTTCAATTTTATTTGTAAATCAATAAAAATATTTAAATTATTATACACAATATATTGAAGAAAGCAATTATTCACATATTTGTATAAATCAATATGTACTTATTTTATGTATTTTATGTATCAAAAAAAGGAAAGAAACAAGAAAAGAAAGAAAGAAAAAATTCAAGGAAAGTTTCTTGACGCCTCTATCTATTTCCTGAAGAATTGAATTTTTTTCTTTGATGCTCCAGTACTTACGTTTTGAAATTTTCGAGCTAATAGAAACGAAGTTACCAGTAGGGCTTGTAACGTCGTGAGCAGCTAGCCATCAAAAAACTGTCACAGCCTAATTTGAAAATAAAAGGATTGTTTATTTTCTAAGCAATTTGTTAGTGAAGCAATATATTACAGTTCATATGCCAAGCCGGTGCAGCCAGTCTATATTCTATTCTCAACGCCACCAGCGTTCATCTTCTTTCCTTCCTTTCCATTCCAATCTCGGACTAAGACCTTTTCTTTAGCGCTCTCTTCCAGTCCGTTCCAACCAGGGCTCTCCTCTCATCCTTTCTCCATCCAGGGCCAGGCTCCTCTCTCTACCTCCCCGTCTCCTAAAAAACCCTTTTAAACGCCAGGGGTAGGTCCACAACACGCCTTTCGTCCTTTCTTATTGGCCGGTCACAAAAGTCTCTCTCGGCCTCCCTCGTCCTATTTGCGCATAACACACCAAAACACACCCGGGCTGTCTGGCCCAAGGCACCATAATTAATTGTCCAACATCTGGACACTCTTGTTCATCACGCCACCTGTTTCTATTATCCCCTTCTCTCAACACCAGAAAAGACGACATGATTCTTTTAAGATAGGCTTTGCCTATTGTCAATGGGGTGCCGGCTCTTCTTTACCATTATGGCTGCTAGTCTAGGTGTCGTCACTCATCGAGTTCAAACAATAAACAATGGCCACATGGCCACGTGCACTGTTCATTTACCAGCTGGCGAAGCTATGGGACAATCGATGTGTGTAAGTTCACAACAATCGAAGACTTCGTACTTGTCATTTAACAGCTGGTAAAGCTATAAAACTTCTCGTGAATCGAACGATGGGGAATCACAACAATCAACGACGTCACAACTCCTTCCCCCTGAAAAGATCCATTTCACTGGACTGCTCTGGCCTCAGTTTGGTTCATTTCGTAACATTTCACACCGAAAGGTTGTCTTATCAATAAGACCGATCAGGACAGCAATCTAAGTAACATATACAATCACAAATAAAATAAACAAGTAAATCCAAAATTCTATAAAATGTATACTTTACAATAAAACTTAAATTTCGAATCTTGGATTATTTTTTCCCTTTCTTAAAGTTACATCACACTTTAAAATTTAGGGTTTTAAAGATATTAAATCAAATCATAATATTTCTATAATTCTAATGCATCAAATCGCTCGTTCGATTGTGTTAAACATCTATGAGCATACACAGTACAAAGAGACACAAAAGATTTTCCATAACAAATAATATCCTTCCACCTTACAGCCACACCAACACTCATACTCATACAAATATTAATTCACGCCTAGCACAAATCCTATAAATTGCTCATTCCCCTCTACTTATTTCAACGGTGTCAGTGTATAAACCAATAGGCTGCTGAACTCCTCCCCAGCAGTGGCGAAACATACACCGCCTCATCCCTCCGTATCATGGAGTGGGAGCAGGGTTCTAGGGGTCTAAATCATGGTATTATCATTTTGAAATCCTTGGTAAGATCCGGCTTGGGACTCAAAACTTTACCTTGCAGGGGAGGGGGAGGATAATATTCTCTGTTATGCCACAACTCCCTAGAGTATTAGGCACGTGTATGATAGGAATTCATAAGGAAGAATCCATGCAGATTGTGTAATTGGCTAATGAATGTGATTAATATATCTCCTCTCTCTTATAGAGCTTGAGAGCTTCTTATGGGTTATATCTCTATTGTCCATAATGAGGGAGTGATAATCCATAGCTCTTCTAAAAAATGGATGTAAGGAAGAAAAGCATATTCACAATATGAGATCCAGAGACTGATCCTAATTGGAAAATGTGAAATTCAACACTGTTGTCAAACAATGATCTCCAAATATTCATTAATTATATCGCTACCTAACAATGAAATGTCACAGAAGTCTCCCTTTGCCATACAGGAGGCCCTTAAAAATAGGTGGAGATCCAAAATCTGTAAAAAAATTACTTTCTGGGGACTTATTGATAGAAACTGTATCTGCTCTACAAACAAAATCTTTCTTGTTGGCAAAAACATTTATAAACTCTACTTTAACCGTTACTCCTCACAAATCATTGCACTCTTGTCGTGGTGTCATATCTGAGCCGGACCTTTTGTGCGCTTCAGAAGCAGACATTTTCGAAGGACTTTCTTACCAGGGTGATACCCAGGTCAGAAGAATTACAATACTAAGAGACTCAACACGTTTACCTACTATAAACACATAATTTTAACCTTCAATAGTCCGAAATTACCTACTACTATTAAAGCCGGATACTTAAACTGCAAAGTGCGACCATATGTTCCAAATCCTGCGCTGCTTCAAGTGTCAGAGATTCGGACACTCTCAAACTTCCTGCCGTGGACAACTGACTTGCTCTAGACTTGACTCTGTTGGACATGCTTCCACAGATTGCGTTCTAGAGCCAAAATCTGTAAACTTCTCACAACCCCATCCATCAGATTCCAAAATGTGCCCTAAATGGAAAATAGAAAAAGAGATACACAGGAAATAAAAACAAATAAAAATATTTCATATCCTGAAGCACGTAAATTAATATAGTCCCACAGTTAACTCCAACTTAAACTAAAGCAGCCAAATCCTCTACCATAAATAATTCCACACAAACAGATGAAAATATAACAAAAATAAAATGCCCACCATTACAATTACTTACGCCTCTATTATCCGTACCTCAGACAAATGTATTTCCTTCAATTCCTTCCGTTTCCACATCGTCGTATACCACTCAGGCAAACATCTCGCCCTCCACATCTCTTCAATAAAACCAACCACACAATTTGAATCTCGGTTACCTCTGAACCCATTTCTTCTCCTAATGCTGCCCCTGACCATAGCTTGAATACCTCTGCATCATCTTTATCAGCTGAAACCCGCCCTCTTACAACTGAAATTCAACCATTAGTTCCCTTACCAGAATCTGCCCCTACTACATCCAATAGTGAACATTCTAATGCACCTGAAATCCCACAGTGTGTAAAACGATATTCAAGAAATAGAAGAAAGCGTCCAAAAGTACAGAAAGCAGAAATTGAAATAAAAATGGCTCCACACAGACCTAGAAAATCAGCACCTATAGAATTAACAACCGATGACGAGGATATGATAACTTATGACGTAGAGGAGGAGGATCTTGAGCAAGATCCTCCGAATAAATTCACCATTAAAGAAGACCCTTTAAATTTTCCTAAAGGATATTTACGCTCGTTAACTTCATCCCGATACAGGAACAGTAGAGGCTAATTTTTTAATAACATGTATTGTCTAACTTTGTTTTAAACTAACATTCGTCTTTTTCAATGCTTTTATTTTAAGATATGGTCTGACTTGGTGGGGGAATTCCCCACCAAATTTGTTTTCTTTAAATTCATTGAAAACGGTTTTAAGTGGTTTGAAATTTTAACTTTTTAAAAAGTGTATTGCCATTCCTTTTACATATTTTATAAAACATTTTAAGTTTTTTAAACAAATGTTTGTCGCAGTATCGCCAAAATTGGCTCTTGCGCCATAAAACCCTAAACTCACTCACTCACCCTCCCCTTCAAAAAAAGGCCCGCTTCAATATTTATTAGTACCGTCCATACCTGTTCCCTGTTTTCCAAAATTACGTTCTCATTCACATTCAATTATAGCCCGACTGAATTCACGTGCCCGAGGTAGCCTAGAGGTCAAGGTAACGCACTCGTGGCTGGTGTGTCATGAGTTCGAGCCAAATGCCACTGAAGACCCGCATGTAGGGGAGAGATGCACGTTAAATCTGTCGAGAACTCAAACGTCCTCTCGTTGGTGTGGCAGTTAAAAGAGGGTGGTGCTACTCAGGTGTCGTCTTCATCATTTGATCATGGTACAAAATGACGAGGTCCGTTGCCAAAAAGCCCTCGTGTCTCTGAACAGTGCGACGTTAATATTCACTCATTTACACCTGACTGAATATACTCTCTCAGAACAGAAAATTCCATAGTTATTGAATGTTCTCTGACTGTATAATAATAACAATAAATTTATTTCTTCGACATTAATTATCCTGGTTTTTAAAAGTTAGCTATTTCTATTCTTAATGAAATATATTTTGTTCTATTAATTTGGGCTATTTTTGCATGAAATCAGATGTTATTACAAATGAAAGAATCCAATAAACCAAATAGTTTAAGAAGTATGGAGACCTTAAAAAGTTAAGAAGTCTTAGGGGTGTTAACTTTCTATAGAGGGCTGAAAATATAACAGATATTCAAATATGTATAATTCTTTGTAATCAAAATTAAATAATTCATATATTTTACACATTATTAATAAAGGAATGGGGCTTCAGAAAAGTGTAAAATGTTTAAGATATCATAATTTTAAAAATTGTAAGTATATGGAAATAAGAAACATTTTTATAAGAAATATGTATTAAGTTTCATGTTGCGCTTGCCATTGTCTAAAGTAGTAGCTTTAAGAAGTAGCAATATGTTGATTTATAAAGTTAAATATATATATTTAATAAACTGTGTAGTAGTTTTGTATAAATATAATAATAAATGCTATTCTTTTAAAAAAATTTAAAAATACATTTTTAATTTTTTAAAAAAAATATTTCCATATCTTTCAAATATTTTTAATACAAAAGATACATTAATCTTATAAATTATTAGGGTTTACAGGGAGTACGATACCCATTTTATAATTCTACAAAACGTTATGCATTAAAGGCTAGTATTTTAGAAATTACCGTGGGCAACGCAAAAGTTACTTACTATTTATCCCAAAATTATTTCATATTTCGATATGCTTATAATTTTTAAAATAAGGATTATATTTCAAACATCTTGTACTTTTTTGAAACAATATTCCTTTATAAACAATGTGTAAAAGACTTGAATTATTTAATTTAAATTTAAAAGAATTATACCTGTATGAAAATTGTTTATATTTTCACCCCTCGAGACAAAACGAACATCCCTCACACCCCAATTTGAACGAATAAATATATCCTTAAAAATATTTTACTTTCTTTTCAGTTTTAAGGAATTCAAAAAGAACATAATACGTAGTTACTTTCCTCTGGGAAGAAATTATCTCTTTAATGGCTTGAAAATTTAAAGTCCATTGCAAAAAAATGAGATTGGTTCTCCTTAAGTTCACTTTTAAAGAAATTATCTCTTCCTTTCCGAAAAAGCCTTATGCTATTCTTCTAAAAGGATAATTTGGAAGCGCAGGATTATTTGTTGCCACTTCCTCAATTTAATCATGGAAGCTTTTGAGCGTAAAGAAGATAATTCAAGGTTCTTGCCTCAAAAGAAAAGGCAACAAACTAAGTAAATGGTACCTTTCAAAAATAGAGCGTTAATTATTTTTTCAACAAGTTGCTTTTTCTTTTACCCTTATTTATAAAGATTTCCATTCATTATGAATAGATGTTTTTTCTGTTAAATAAGACTCTCCGCAAAAATTAAAATAATTTATTTATTTCTTGATGTTTTTTTAATACATCATTTAATGCAATTGAATGATTTTGAAAGTTTGTACTTTAAATATAAAATTTTGCATTGTGAAAATATCTTCACATATCTTAAAGCAAACTTATTTAAAAAAATTATCTACTTTGCAAAAATTAAAACATTTTTCCAAGCTGTTTATTATAAATGATTTATTAAGGTATCTTATGAGTATCATCTTAATTTATTCAATACCTTTACTTTTTTCAAATTCCTAATATGAGTTGATAATCTTCCTATATGTATATATATATATATATTGTTCAGAGTTTTAATATTTTATAAAATACTTCCTATTCATCCATTCAAGTTCAAATACATTTTTTTAAACTTGTAGTGATTAAAACTTCATCTGAATACAGTTTTTACAAATATTAAATCATTAATTAAATTTAAAAAATCAATAAATATTAACAAGCAAAAATAAAAGTTCAACAGCATTTATAGAAAGGAAATACGTTCGTTGTGTTTCTTTAGCGCAATGGATAGCGCGTTGGATCTATAATTCAAAGATCGAGGGTTTGAATCCACTCATTTCTGAGAATGTGATTTCTTTTTTACTGTACTATTTTATTTTAATAATTAAATTTAATTAATGAATAAACAGTAACAAACAAAAAATAATAGTCTAACCTCATATATAGAAAGGAAAATCGAAAATTGCAAGGAAAATTGTTTCCTATTTTGTCACTTAATATTGTAAGTAGATCATATGTATATACCTTAAAATCCGGCGTATAACGCCCCCTTTTAATACACACACAAACACACACACAAACACAAAAATAGATCGAAAATCGCGGGTGTGCGTTATACGCCAGGTATAAAAGTGACAGCTTCAAAAATAAAAAAAAAAGTGAATGAGCCTAAAAAAAAAACTAAGCCTCTACAAAAATAAGAATACTGTTTATTTAAAAGAACTGTCATACCTTATGAACTGAAAAGGTTGTTTTTTTAGAAATATGTAGGGTTGGATATGTGCAATGGACAGCCCCTCCCCCTGTACTTAGGGTGGAGCAGTCCACACTGACGTCACACCCCGTTAGGAATGTCCGACTAAAGGACACACGGGAAAATATGTAGACGGACGTTAGGGACGCTAAGCTTTACACGTAGAAGAAAGACGTTCTCCTTTACTGTCTAGTATAATTCAGATATTTCATCAATAAAGCATTTATCATCCTTAGGTTGTAGTCATTTTCCCATATTTTGGGGGCTCGACCTTTTCTTGCATATTAAGAAAAATCTCCTCTAGACGAGAGAAAATTTTTAAGACGCGTTAATATTTTTCTTCAGTGGACGTTACATTGCAAAAAGTGTAAAAACGTGTTGCTGATTCATTTAGGACGTCAATTTCTTTGGAATGGACTGCTCCCCAACCCCAGGTAGGCAAAATTTAATTAAACGTATTTTTTTTTTGTTTATTTTGGCTTTAAAATTACTGTATTTAGTAGTTTTAACTCAGAGTGTGACAGAGAAATTTTGATTACAACCTTGCACCGTCTATACATTTTCAAAGTGATTAATTTTGTATATTAAGATGTCCTGTAAAAATATTAAATTAGTCGATATTCCTATATTTGCTAATTCGTTGAAATGTGGTACAACTCGTGCTGTAAAAACATTAAATTCTATATTAGGATTCACCGAATTTGACCGTTCTTCGCGAAATAAAATAAGAAATTTTTCTACAATCCCTAAAGAGTGAAGAACACAAAGAAAAAAATTTTAACCGAATTCTCATTGCCTGATTTTATCTCAGTCGCTAATTTATTGCATTTAGACGTAGAAACAAATGAGCAAAATTTATGCAATAGTATATTTGAAGCTTTGACGAACTTAGATGAATTCCAACTAACATTAAATAATTCGGAGGCATCCTTTTCTGAAGGCGAAAACGTAGTTTCAAAAACCACGTTTCAAAAACGAATCACGTTAGACAGGAATTTTTCATCGGAAGGGACAGACCAGCACTCCCCTTTTCAACATCCGGTCAGTAATTCTCCCCTACCCAGTGCTCAAGATTATTCTTTCATGCCGGCACATCAAAACGTTTCTTCTCTTTGTACACAAAATACTTTTCCTCCCTATTCAAACGATGCTTCCCTTACAGAGATGAATACCCAGTTTTGGACTTTATTGCGGGATATTTCGTCGACTAGTAAAAAATTTACCGGGGAAGATTTTTATTCTGTAAATAGTTTCTTTTGCGATGTTGAAGAAAATTTTGATTTATTCCCAGCAATCAGTTCTTCTCAAAAAATTAATTTTCGAAACGTCTAGTATGTGGAACTGCTAAATCATTTCTTTTTCACAAAGATATTTAAATACATGCGAGTCATTCAAAAAAGCTTTAATTGAAGAGTTTTCGGATTCAGTTACTTCAATAGAAATTCACCGTGAATTAGAAAAAAGGGAAATGTATAAAACCGAGACTTTAATGCAATATTTTAATTCCATGCGTGAATTAGCAAATAGATGTGATTCAAAAATTGACGAAGCATCAATTATCCAGTACGTAATTAATGGAATTGATCGGCCTCGTTTAGATAAAATAATCCTCTATGGTGCAACCTCATTTTCTGAATTTAAGCAGAAATTACGTACCTATGAAATTGTCATTAAAAACATGGGAATACATAACTCTAATTCACTGAATTTTCGTCATTCATATGAATGCCGAGGACGCGATTCTAAACAACAAAGCTTCCAAAGAAAACCCTCAAAATTTAACGTTTCTGACGCAGCTAAAAATCCCCAACGTTGTTTTAATTGTAATGATATAGGTCACCTATCAAAATCTCCTCCTAGTCATTCACGTGGCCCCAGATGCCTCTCATGAAATCTTTATGGTCACAAATCGTTTAAATGCCGACGAGCTAATTTAAATAACACTTCTACACCACCTTCTGATGTAAATGCTATGCAGGAAATACCTTCTATTAATATGTGTAAAGACGTAACAATTTTCAGCCGTAAACTTAACGGATTGGTAAACACAGGTAGCAGTTTAACACTACTGAGAAATTCGACTTACATAAATATAGATGCACGCGCGACCACTGAAACAAACCAAAACATTATTAACAGGTTTTGGTTTTTCGCGAATTAATGTGATAGGAACTTTTGATTCTGAAATTACTATCAATGATCAAATTTTTCCTGTTATTATTTCTGTTATACCAAATTCTTGTACAAATTATAACCTCATAATCGGTTGTGACGTAATTAAGCAAGCACATCTAAATATATCGCCTACAGGTGTAAAATTTTCATAAATTTTAAGACCATCTGATAGTGTAAATGAAACTTTTATTATGACGATTTCTGACGATTCACCCACATTTGATATCGGTCCAAATGTTTCTCAACATAATCGAGCTGAAGTCGAACAACTGCTATTGACATACACGCCAAAAAAAAACAAAAACTGTAAACATTGAGTTTGATATCGCTCTCACCGACGACGAACCGATATTTCATAAGCCCCGACGTTTGCCATTTGCTGAACGAGATATAGTAGACGCTCAAGTTGATGAATGGGTTAAAAATGGAATTGTTGAGCCGTGTTCATCCCCTTACGCTAGTCAAGTTGTGGTAGTAAAGAAAAAAGACGGGAAATCAAGAGTTTGCATTGATTATAGACGCTTAAATCGCAAACTTATTAAAGATAACTATCCTCTTCCTTTAATTGACGATATTTTAGATCGTCTCCAAAATGCTAAAATATTTACTACTATAGATCTAAAAACTGGATTTTTCCATGTCGCGGTAAATGAAAGGAGCCGTAAATTTACTAGTTTTGTTACTCACAATGGTCAGTATCAATTTAGACGAATGCCTTTTGGACTGAGTACTTGTCCTTCCAACTTTATGCGGTACATAAATGCCATTTTCCGACATCTGATTTCGAAAAGTATTGTTCTCCCATATCTGGATAATGTCTTTATTCCCGCTGCTAATGAGTCCCAAGCCCTTGGATATCTAAAAATTGTTCTACAGGTAGCTTGTAATTACGGACTTGAAATAAATTTTTAAAAAATGTCAATTTTTACATAATAAAATTGAGTTTCTTGGCCATATTATAGAAAACGGTAGATTGTTTCCTTCTCCTTCAAAAACTAAAGCTGTTATTAATTATCCTGATCTTAAAAATATTAAAGACGTTCGCCGATTTCTAGGTCTTACTGCAGTGCTTCTCAAACTTTCAATACTGGCGCCCCCTTTTCAATCACAATTTTTATAGCGCCCCCTTATACATTAATAATGTACTGAATGTAATAATAATGCACTTTGACGCTAAAGCTACTATACGCGATCTTAATTATAAACCATACAAATTAATAGCATAAGTATTACAGTTTGTATACTACTTTTTTGCAAAATAAATAAATTAATTAAGTAAGACAGTGCTTCTCAAACTTTCACTACTGGCGACCCAATTTTCAATCATAATTTTCATCGCCCCCCAATAATAATGTATTGAATGCAATAATAATGCACTTTGAGTATTAAATTTTGTATACGTTACTTTTATATAATATATATTTTAAGCAAATTACTTTTAAGTAATAATTATAATGTTATGTTATTTTTCCTTTCTCATTTTTTAAATTGGGACAGATTGCAAAATGACATTTAATTAAAAATTTATTTCGTCCATCATGCATTTCTAAAAGTACAAATGTCATTAGAACAAGTAATATAAAAAATAAATTTTAAGTCAATTCCTACTTAGGCCAACAAAGAAAAACTTATTTTAGTTACTTTCTATTAAATAGTTTCAATTAATACAAATATGTAATACATATGACAGAATCACAATGTTAAGCGACAAAAGAGAAAGCGATTTTCCTTGCAATTTTTCCTTTTCTTTTCTATATATGGGGTATTGGAATATTCTTTTTCGTTACTATTTATTCATTAACTAAATTTAATTAGTGTAAGAAAATAGTAAAGTAAAGAAGAAATCACACACATTCTTAGAAATTAGGCCATCTCGGATGGAATTCGAACTACCGTCCTTCAGATTAGAAGCCCAGCGCGCGCTATCCATTGCGTTACAGGGGACAGCACGAAAAGTTTTCCTTTCTATAAATGCTTTTGGACTATAATTTTTGTTTGTTACTATTTATTCATTTTTTTTAATTTAATTAATGAATTAAAATTTGAAAGAACTGTATTAACATGAAGTGTCACCCACTACAAGTTTTACAAAATGTATTTGAACTTGAATGAATGAATAGAAAGTATTTTATCAAAGATTGAAAATTTGAACAAGATATATATGAGAGAGTGAACTTATAGTAGAAATTGAAAAATAGTGTACTTTATGTTGCGCTCTCTCATATCCATCACATCTGGCATTCTCGCGAGCGTCTGCGTGAGTCTGGCCAAACTATCGGACGTCTGCGCAAAACATGTAATAATGCTGTACCTCGTACAATTCCAATCAGTCTTGGTCCATTCGATGCTTCTATAGCTACAAAATCTATCTTGAATGTACATTTTATAATTTGCGCGTTAGTTGTAATTCACACTATTA